GTAATGCATTGAAAACTTTCATCTTGACAAAAGTGGATAACAATCCCTTTTCATTGAGTAGTCGGGATTCTACCCTCATCAAGCACTGAATTTCTCGCGCCAAAAGGTGGAGGGCCCAAATTCTAGGTTAATAATTAAATTGAAAAAAAAATAAAAAAATAAAAAATAAAAAAGTGAGGACTTCTCCCAAAAGGTGAGAAGTGGGAAATGATTAGATGGAGGTTGTCTTGATTTGTAACCTAATTGATTTGAGTTTGTAAGTCCTTAGGGGTGTTTAAACACCTAGTGCCCTAAAGCCGTCCGGTTTGGGAGTCATTGACCTAACGCTCGACCTCATGGATCGCTAGAAAGCTTAATAGATCAATGCATTGCACCATACTTCCATCTTTGATACTCTTGGTTAGTGAAAAAAAAAAAAAAAGCACATCTAGTTGAATAAAGCTTTAATAAAAGGTCCACTCTTTGTTTTGATGATCGGGATTAGATATGTGTGCTAGTTTGAGGGTAAGGATGTGATCATTTCTTTAGTTGGCTTAGATAGTAACATTTTTTTATGCCGGTTCACTTAAAAGGATTCTAGAGTTGTTTTGATTTGTATGATCATTTTCTTGATGTGTGGAGGACCATACTTGTTTACTTGATATTAAGATTTTGGGAGATTGCTTGGAAAGGGTTGAAAAATTACATACTTGAGGTAATTTTTTCTCAATACTTATTTTGTATATTGGTACCTCTTTAGTGAGAAAGAGCTCAATATTTGTGGGTATCATTTCTGGAAACCCTCACGAGACTTCACTCGTCCGCTAGGGGTAACCTAGGGGTTTAAAAGGCTTGTTGCATATGCTAAATGCAATCGTATTCCATACGAAAGTGGCGTTATCCTTTTATTGCTTCCTGGTCCATAATTGCTTAGTTGTTTATTTCTTTCATTTCCTTGTAGTTTATTGCTAAGGACTAGCAATATCTAAATTTGGGGGTGTGATGAATGCTCAAATGTGACGCATTTTAGCACGTAAGTTAGGATATCTAGTCCATTCATGTATCTTACTTTCATGTTTTAGATACTTATTTGTGTTTTTGCCTATTTCAGGTTAATAAAGTTCAAACCGGCTAACAAGAGCCATTTAGCTCAATTTTAGAGGTAAGGAACAAAGTTAGAAAAAAGCCAAGAAACATGTACCAGGAGAACTTCGATCGATCGAAGAGGAATTCCGATCAATCGAAGAATTCTACAATCGATCGAAATGAAGTGGTGCCAGCTCAGCCAATTGGATAAGGCCAAAGAAATATTTTCGAGCCACGTCAGCTTCGATCGATCGAAGCTAAGTGTCCGATTGATCGAAAAGCTTCGATCGATCGAAATGCTTGCTGGCAGTGAGCTGTCTAATTTCCGAGCACGCCGATCTCTACCTAACTTATGTAGCTGCAAATTTCCTCCAATCATAGGCTGTAATTCTGACTTGGTCCTTACTCAAAGAAGTGCGTAATTAATTTATTGAACATTATTGTATCATCCATAGATAGAGATATCACCAATTATAGAAATTTTTTTCCTCTCTCTAGAATTAAGGTTTCGGAGAAGAAAGTAAGGATGAAGATGATGATGTCAACCTCCAAGCTAGCCCTTGAGGGTTCCATGACCACTACAATGAGTGGCTAAATCCTTCTCTTGGGGTTAGAGATAGCCCTTAGGCTTGCTTCTCAAACCTAGCTTTTGTTTATTTTTGGGGATTTTAGTTGTAATAAATGTTTTAACCATAAAAAAATATAAATCTTGTAATTTTTACTTGATTTGTATGGATTAATGCTTTCAATTAATCATTTGGCTCTAGTCATATGTTTATGTATGCTAGAATTGATGTTTATATTTTTGTCTCTAGATTTATTGAAATTGATGCATGTCTATGTGTGTTAATGATGTTAATCTAGTGATGGTTAAGGCATGGTGCTTAATGGAAAACTCTTGTAATTTATTTAATGGTTCACACTTATTTCTTAATGGATTGTATCACATCTTTAGTTTAATTAGTTTAATTTCATGTCTCTAGCCTAATTGTAGTGTAATTGTTTTAATTTCTTAGGTAGGTGAACAATCCATTCTTGTTTCTTGATATTCCATACTTATGAATGCAAAAAGTGCATGGCTCTAGATTTTTATGTGTGCATTAATTGTGATTTAATTGAATGGATATTGGTCTTATTTGATAGGTTGTGTTTTTCATCTAAATTGGCTAGACAATCTATACTTATTTATCATCCATGCTTAGTTTCAATTGATGTCACACACACAAAAGTTACAATTTAAATTTTTCCATTAATATACAATTGCTAGTGTTTGATGAAGTGAAGTTTAGTGGTGACTCTAAGCCCCAAAACCTCTCTCCTATATCTTTTCCCTATTTTCTAGAATACCCTTTACTTGCATTGATTTTTAATTGCATTGTAGTTTAATTAAACAATCACCAACAATCTTTGATCACTCAACCTACTAATCCGATATTAATTTCTATCACAAATACACCTCCTTTCCTTTAGAACGATCCCTACTCACTCTAGCTATATTTTTAGTTGAAAGTGGTAGTGGCATTTTCTAAATTTAAACTTGGCCACACTGCAAACTTTTTCATGCAATTTGGGTGTAACACGATAGAACACACCACCATATATATATATATATATTAGAGAAAATACAAAGAAAGGCCTTCGGCCCAAACCAACCCAAACAAACTTGGGAAAGCAATAGTAGCCCAAAAGAAAGAACAATAATCATAGGCTCAAGGCCCAACCCCAAATTCAAGCAAAAAGCCAAAAATAACGGCTATGTATTTTAGATAGATATAGATAGATACACCCATGGACTATAACCTTTACCCATCTTGGTTTCCTATTCAAGTACATGAAACCTATTTGGTTGGTCCATTACCACTACCTAAACCCATTCCTTTAAATAAATAAAATAAACAATTAAATATTTAAGCTAACACATAATTACAAACAATTATACAATTAAATCACGTAAATCACATCATACAAATACACACAAATAAATCACATAATTCACATCAAACAATTAAATCATTTAAGCACATAAACACATACATTCATAATCAATTAAAATGCAATGAAAAATAATTAATAAATTTTTTTAAAATTATCTTAAAATTAGGGGTATTACACACCGAAATTGCACCAGAAATCATGCCGTTATTTTTGGCTTTTTGCTTGAATTTGGGGTTGGGCCTTGAGCCTATGGTTATTGTTCTTTCTTTTGGGCTGCTATTGCTTTCCCAAGTTTGTTTGGGTTGGTTTGGGCCGAAGGCCTTTTTTTGTATTTTCTCTTTTATAGTATATATTAACTTCACTTTTCAAAAAAAAAAAAAAACACACCAATTTGATAGTTATAGTATAAAACTTTATACGCGTAAATGTGCTGACCACGTGGCTCTTTCCAAGAGATCTTCTCTGGGTTCCACGATCAAAATAATTCTTTTATTTAATTGCAGGAGGAAGTTTGTGAAGAAAGTGGAAGTGTCCAGTTCAGTGCGAACTATTTCCTGTATTTTCTTTCATATTTTAATGGTAAGCAAACAGGAAATTGAAGGGTCCAGATGGCATGGTACCGGTGAGTCTGGTGACCAGTCTAGACTAACAACAGCGGGGCAAGTGATTAGGGGACGATTGAATTTCATGGTTTGACTCAGTCATGGATGTTCAATTAATTTGTGACTTGTGATATAAGGTTTCGAGTATGTATGGATACGGTTCAGATTCTATTTTGATACTTCAAAAAACAAAATTAAAGAAGAAAAAGTTGCCATTCCAATTATTCATTCATTGTGCCATTCGCACCCAATTACTCTTTACTCCCAAACAGAGACACAGTAGGATTTTATTTCTGGACATATTAAATATGATAAAATATTTTTTTTCCCAATTAACAATGGCGCATGACAACAAATTTAAAAATTGGAAGTGTAGTAACAGTGTGGAGGGAAGAGAAAAGAGATATAAAGTAAGGAGGAATGAAACATCTCTCTTTAATTTGTATTTTTTCATGCCCCCAAATTGGGGGAAGAGCAAACAAAAAGAAGATATAATGTCCATTTTTAACTTTCCCTCTAACCAAACAAAGTATGAGAATATATTGATAAAAAAATATATATAAAAACCTTCTTTTTCATTCCTTCTAACCAAAAAAAAATTGACACGCCTTCAATTATTTCTATTATTCATTTTATTCAATCAAACAAAAAATGACAACGACATCTTTCATTCCTTAAGAATGAATCATCCATCCATTTCCCTCTTATTTTCATCCATTTTTCCATCCCTCTAACCAAACAAAGTATGTTAGTGCATGAGGCTCTTGATATTGCAGATCTACAAAAAGGTTAGCTGTAAGTTGTACGCAACCTTACCTTCGCATGCGAATGAGTTGTTTCCTTATTTCAAATCCCATCAAAGCAATCTTATCATTGCATCAAGTAAGGACAATTCAAGAATTATTAGTGGGTTAGGCTATTTTTTTTTTTTTTTGGTGGACTAATACTAATATTTTTTTTTGGTTGGACTAAAATTAATTGCCTATAACAAAAAAAAAAAACATTAGCTCAACAAAACATACACCTAGATCCACCCTGGCACCAAGGGTTGCCCTCAAGTTTAGTAACAGTGTAGTAATCAAAATTCATATAATATATTGCAATAACCAAAAAAAAAAAAAAAAAAAAAAAAAAAAAAAAAAAAAAATCCTCCAAACATAAAGGCCTATTTTGGATGGAAGGAAAAGAAAAGAAAGAATAAGAAATGTTGTGTTTCCTTTCTCTTATCTCCTATGGATCCATTGAAGCCAGAATGTGACCATTTAAGGGTCCTTTGAGCAACAATTTCTATTTTGCATTTTCTGTTTCATATGAAGCAGAGACTGTACCACAATGTTTGAAGCGAAGGGCATCTTGGTAATTTCGAAGTTCACAACCTATTAAAGCGACCAATGTAAAGCAGACTTTTAGTGTTTCATTACACAAATGTTACTTTTCATCATTTTCACTGTTATACTATACAAAGATACTGTATTAATTTAAACCCATTCCTCTCTAACATACATATGCAATTACCAATCTCCTCTAAAATAATCCAATTACCAATCCGTACTAGTTAAAAATTAAATACGGATTAACAATCCTAACAAGCCACAACACAGTACAACCAATAAAATCAAATTAAATGGAATAGCTCCATAAGAACACTTCATCTGCTTCCATGTCATCATTCTCATTGTGCCCATATCCTCCAGAGTGTGGTGGAGGTAGCATCAGCCCCTCAGCCATGTTTGCAAGCAATCCCGGCATGCCGAAAACCGCCTCATCATCCATGAAGAACACTTGTTCCGGCATTGTCATCGTTCTTTCCGGCCTCATGTCATCACCGGAAACTTCGTTGGATTGATCTTCCGACAACCGGAAAGCTTCCGCCGCTTCCGCTGCCGCCTTCTGGATGTCCTTAGCATCCGACGTTGCCGGAACCGGCAGCCGCCATGCCGAGTCTGCAAAATTGAGACAAGCCGACCGGCGGCCCCTCAGAGCTAGCGCCGCCACATCGTGGGCCCGTGCAGCCATCTCCGCCGTTGGGAACGTCCCCAGCCATATTCTCGACTTCTTGTTCGGCTCCCGGACCTCGCAGACCCATTTCCCGCCGTTCCTCCGCCTCACACCCCGGTACACCGGGTGCCGAGTCTCCCGGAATTTCTTCCGCCCGGCTCTTCTCTTCGGATGACTCGAAGCCAACATAACCTCCTCGTCGGAACAATTGGCACGGCCGGTGCTGCATCCATCAGACACCACCGATGATGATTCCGGCAACTCCAGTGACCAGAAATCTGACCCACATGGAACTGGGTCTGAATAATTAGAAAGGATTTCCATCCAGTAGTAGTAGGAAGTAGTAGTAGAAGTTCTGGTTGAAATTTAGTACTAGTAGTACTGATTTCAGTTTGCTTTGCTTTTGGGGGAACAAGTATGAATGAAGTGACTGTCTAAATTTGATTGTGCATATATATATATATAGATATGTGTGGTATGGATAATCTAACGCGAGTGTTACGCTTTAAACAGAGGGGATTGAATTGAATATGATGCGGAGGGGACAGGCTGGTGGCTGCCCACGGTTGCAACACACAAAGTGGGGGATATTATGATGATGTTGATGTTGTGCCAGCTGTTTTGGCACCACGTTGTAAACAAAAAGGTAATTGACACGTGTGATTTGAGGTGAAGTGCCAGTCAACATTTGACCTTTTCTTCTTTTATAAGAAACATTTGGATGGAGCTTATCCACAATTCAATGAACCAACTACTCTAATTGGGTTTCTTTTTATGTAAATGTACGAGGAGACAAGTTCCTCGGCGATCTTACTAAGATAAGCTGGATATTAGATAGGGTAATTTTTATTTTTATTTTTATTTGAGGTGTTTGGACATTAGAGCATCAGCAACCTACTAGCAGAAGCCTTATTCCGCAAGCCAAACCTGCTTTTGGTCCTCTAATGGTCTCTTCAAAATGGTAGGGCCCATTTGAGGCTCGCGATATTTAGCGAGCCGGCCCGCGATCGGGGTATTTTTTGTTTTTTGTTTTTTATGAGTCCAAAATGGCGCCGTTTGGTTGCCTTTCTTTTGTCACTTTATAACAATGGTGTAACACTGCACCAAATAGTGGCAGATTTTTTTTTAAAAAAAAAACCTAAAAATAGGTTCAAATGAGCTCTTTTTTTTGGGAAAAAAATAAAATAAAATTCATTGAATAAAAAATATATTATTTAGGCACTATTTGTCAAAAAAAAAATTATTTGGGCCAAAAAAAAAATTCAAAAAGCTTTTGTTTTTTTTGGTTTTTTTTTCCTTAAAATTTGATTTTTTTTTTTTTTTTTTTTGCTTTAAATTGTAATCCTTATTTTCTTATTCCAATTCATTATTTTTAATCCTTATTTTGTAATCCTTATTTATTTGAGCCAAAAATAAATAAATAAAAAAACTTTTTTTTAACACCTTTTGTAAAAAAAAAAAAAAAATTAAAATTCCAAATTCATCTACTTATTCCCATAGAATTTTCTAATACTTATTTTCTTATTCCAATTTATTATTTTTAATCTTAAAAAGCCATTACATAATAAAAATTATAGTACACGAAATATCATAACATCTTAAAAGTAAATAAAATGCAACATAAATTAAACATCTTCATCAGCATAGCGGTTTCACAAATTTTCCATCAAATCATTCCTCAACCGCGTATTTGTCTCTCTGTTGCAAATTTGAAGTTGGCGAGAGGATATGTGTGCCACTAAAACGATGGGCATCGATTTAAAGTGGGAATCGGGATTGCATCCTCCGGTGGCGGAGTCCATCTTCCAACATTTGCATGACGCTCATCTTCAATGATCATATTGTGAAAAATGATGCACGTTTTCATTATGAGGCGCAAGCCATCTTTCTCCCAGTAATGCACTGGTCCTTGCGTTATTACCCACTTGATCTGCAATATCCCAAAAGCCCGTTCCACATCTTTTCTTGCTGCCTCTTGTCGCTGAGCAAATAATTTTTCTTTTGTAGTGGTTGGGTGTGGGATGGTCTGCATCAAAGTTGCCCACTTAGGGTATATACCATCAGACAGGTAATACCCCATTCTATAGTGATGTCCATTTACTACACAATTAACCGGAGGTAATTGGCCATTGATAATGCCGTTGAATACTGAGGAATGATCCAACACATTTATATCATTGTATGAACCCGGCATTCTAAAGAATGCATGCCAGATCCACAAATCTTGTGAGGCAACTGCTTCCAATACGAGAGTATTCTTACCAGATCGTCCCCTATGTGTGCTTTGCCACTCCACTAGGCAATTCTTCCACTCCCAGTACATACAATCGACAGAACCAAACATACCCGGAAAACCTCTCTACTCCCCTTCTTCAAGCAACCGTGCTATGTCGGCTTCGTTGGTTGGGTGCATATACTCCTCTGCATACACAGCAACAATAGCATTACAAAATGCCTTCAAGCATTTAATGGCTGTGCTCTCGCCGATTTTAATATACTTATCATAGTGATCGGCTGCACAACCATATGCGAGTATACGAACAATAGTTGTCATCTTCTGTATAGAAGACAACCCCAGACGACCAGTTGCATCCTTTTTTTGGACAAAGTAGTCATCATAAGCTTTGACATCATTAAGGATACGAAGAAAAAGTTCTCGTCGCATCCTGAATCGCCTATGAAAGTACTCCGGTGGATATGTGCAATTCTCGTTGAAGTAGTCTTTTATTAGCTGATAGTGGCTTCCCTCTCGGTCACGATGAATGTACCGCTTCTTTTTACGGACTTGAAATACTTGCTTGACTATCTTTGGCCTCACTGAATTCATAATCTCATAGAATTCGTCTTGATCCTGTTGAATCAACGCCCCAAAAGGATCACTTTCCGAAGAGGATGACGAGGAAGATGAAGAATTAGAGTCTGCCAAAGGAAAAGCTTGTGATGACGAAGCCATTCGAATTTTGAAATTGAAAAAGATGGATGATGATATTTTTCTATAATGGAGAGAGATGATTATAGTGATGATTTTCAAATGAGCAAATGAGTTTCATTATATAAGATGAAAATATAGCTGTTTAAAATTCAAAATTTAAAAATATAGCCGTTACAAATATAACTGTTAAAAATTCAAATTTTAAAAACATTACCGATAAAAATTCAAATTTTAAAAATATAGCCGTTACAAATATAACGATTAAAAATTCAATTTTTAAAAATATAGCCGTTTAGGAAAAGTTAAAAAAAGAATAATAATTTTAATTTTTTATTATTATTTTTTTTAAAGAGCGAAAACTCAGAGAGTCTGATGGAGTGCATGTTTTTGGAGAGTGAAAACTGCTGACGTGGCTCTTGGAATTGCTGATGTGGCTCTTGGAAAAGCCGATGTGGCGTTTTTAGAGAGCCAAAATTCGGAGAGGCTAGTGCGGATGCTCTTATGTTTGACATCTTGGGATTAGAGGATTGGACTGAAATTTATAGTCCAATTTCATTTTTTGAGAACATTTAAACAAAAATTTCTTTCAGTTTGAGCGGGTTGAATTATAAGAAAATGCATATATATATATATATATATATATATATATATATATATATATATACATATAGAGTTTTAAGATTATAATCTAGTTAAATGAGGTTAAAGTTGCATTATATTTAAGATTTTTTTTTTACTATTTAGTGGATTATATTATAGGTTTTGAACATGGAATTGTTATTATATATTTAATACAGTTATAAATTATTGTGACAGTGAAGCCAATTTTATTTTAATTTATTGGGAGATGGTATGAGCAATTTTATTGTGAGATATAAGGATATGATTTCAAAATTTTGATGCATTGTATAACTTTAGTATTATTTTCTTATGTATAATTTTTTATTATCATATATATATATATATGTATTATTGAGGTATTTCACACTTTACTGATGAAACTAATCTATTTCATGGCACACGCAATATCCCATAAGCCACGTGCACCGAGCAAGACCGAGTAAATTTAGAACTCAACCTGATTACAACTTAACTCGTATGAATATGCACCCCACAAAAATTTTTTACCCATATTGACTTGAATAACTTCTTAGATTTCTAAAAATTTGATAATTTGTGCAATCCGAAAAACCTAATGAATTCGTAGGGAGGAGTGTAAGTGACGTTTCCATTTGTGGTCTTAATTTGCATGGATTAAAGGATTAGTACCCAAATTTTGCAGAATTATTTAAAATACGACACCTTAATTTAGATACATTACAAATACGACCAAGTCCAAAAACGAATGGATGAAAAGGGCGAGTATTACAAATATGACAACTCTACACAACTAATTGTGTATATAACAAGTCTGTATATTTAGGACAAAATTACCCCTCCACATTTTACAATTTGACTTCTAAACCATTCTTCCCCAATTTTTCACTCTATTTTATTTCTCTCTATAAATCACCATCGTAGCCGCCGCCGCAACACACACCTTTGGGTTTGTCTATAACACACTCTCTCATTTAGATATGTACTTCCATAAAAAAAAAGAAAATTTTAGTGTTGGAACTTCAAACATTTAGATATGGAATTTGTAAAAAATAAAATTTTAAAGTGAGATGGAATCGTGGAGGTTTCTGAAGTTTCTCAGTTAGGAGGTTAGTATAGTAATTATATATAATAAGAGACCCAAAAGGAAGTTAGCATAAAAATAGTAATTAATTATTGGGAAAGAAAATACACGCGTCAATTACTAAACTAGTGACAGAAATTTCACAGTCGCGATTAGCACCCCTCTTGTTGAGATGGAGTGCATTACTCAATTCCGGCATATACATGAACCGGCACCATATATGGCGGCGGATTAAACAAATATTATCTTCAGTCTTCAAATCCACTAACATCTTCTCAACCTCTGAAGCCATTAACAGATTCTTGTATAACCCAGATCTAAATCCCTATGTTGGCAAGAAATATGTTATCTTTAGCCTTCAAATCCACCTCCCAAATAAGGAACATGGTTCTAATTTTGCAGGCGAACCCTTCTTCTCCGACAACATATAACAGTGAGCCACCACCACCACCGACCACCAACCACCAACCACTGCAAGTTTGATTTTTCTTCTTTCATTTTTGGTCTTTCTCTCTCCTTCAAAATCTCTATCAAATATTCTAGCTCAGATCCAAAGTTGAAGAACACAATAAGAAGAGAAGACCCAAGACTCATCGTCTGATTATGACGAAAGTAAGAGAAAACCGTGGTGAGCGTTTGATTATAAAATGTGTTGTAGGAATTGTTAGAGTCGATGGGTTTGTTGCTGCTTGAGATCCGTCTCAATGATAAGCGGTAAGACGAAGATGAGGAACGTCGTGCCGACTTTCTTGTCGACTTTTTTGGTGCTCTTCGTTAGGCGCTTAGTAACATAGGAGGTGTCGGACACCGCTTGCTTACCCTTGTAGACGATCGCAACAACGAGATGAAG